TCTTTCCCTGCCTCCTGATGGATCTGCAGATCCTTTCCTATGGTGCAACTCCTACAGAAATAGCTGCTTCCTAGATGGATGAGTTCGTTTTTAAACTTCCCTAGGAAGGGGCTAAGCAAGCTTTACCCCATCACCAGCTGATTCTTTTGGTCACCAACATCCAGTGTCCCAGACCATCACAATAGATGGTTCGTTTCCAAAATGGTGGTTGCATTACTACAAGTGCCAGCCAGTCCAAGGAGAAAACAGAAGCAGATTTGTGAAGTGCTATCTAACTATTCAAATGAAAGGACTCATTTATCACCTGGAAGAAAGAGAAGCAGAATCAGTAGTGACCGTGATAAAAATGACTGTATTACAGCAGAAAACAGAAGTTAATGACTTTGATCACTTCAGGCCTGATCCTGCATTTTTAAAAGATTGCACATCCTAGCTGCTAGTGCCACCTGTGCCTGTCTGCACCAGGGGGAAACCAAGGGCACGCGCACTTGGCTAGGAGGCTGCAGGAAAGGCAGGAGGGAATTACAGCTGGTGTGCTTTAAACAGAAGACTGACCTTGAATTGATAGGCAAAGCAAGCAGAAGGCAAAGCTGCTGTTAAATAATGTTGGAAAGTTTTTGTTCTCCTCAGGGCAAGGAGAATGGTCATCAGCTGCCAAATGCAGTGGGTCATAGGGCAGTGCTTGCTAAAACTAAAAGCAAATTAGTAGATGCTGAAAAATAACCACCTAAATCCACAGATTAAACTCTGCAGCAACTGTAGCTGTGAGGCAGCAAAGTGAACTCTTGTAGAGCAGAGAGTCAGCATTGCTGGGTACAGCCACGTGCTGCAGCTCCAGGCACCCCGCAAAGCCCCGAGCTGGCGGCTACGCAAAGAGCCCCCTTTTCCCTCAGCACACCCGCACCACTTTCAACATGCACGCGGCTGCAAAAAACGCAGGCACTGAGAAACACCACGTTGCTCAGCACTACACTCCCCTGCGCTCTACTTGTTGAAAATGCTGTGCTGGAGACCTGCACACAAGGCGCACAGAGCAGCAGCACCATGGAGTGCAGGATCAGGCCTGTCCAGTCACACTGTGCCATTTCAGCACTTAGGTCTCATTGCTCTCCAGCATGCAAGAGGCAAAGACTTGTTTTCTGTGTGTGCATCATCTATAAGTAACAGATAAGAGCAGCAAAGATCTTCCCACTTCTGGGTACCAATTACAGGCACCGGCCACTGTTGTGTGACCACTACAGAGGGGCAGGCAGGAGACGGCCAGAACATCCTTTGGGGCAAGATCCTACTCCTTGCCTACAGGAGCATTTGGCTCTCACTGACCAAAGAGCTTGGGGCTGAGCCTTCCTAATTCAATACAAAAATAAGAACTAGTTATATGTGTTTAAGAACAAACTCCTACTAGCTTAAAGAACACACAAGTTAATTAAGATGCAATAATGCGATACTATTTTAAAAGAAATATCCCAAGCACTTTTCATTCTCTGAATGACCAAAGAAAGATACTTGACAAACTCCAAATCTCTCCTTGTACTCTCCGGGTGTGGGAACTCAAACCAATGTTCATGGGGACAGCACACAGCCCTAAACACAGGAATAGCTTTATCTGCTCCTATTCTATTACGATTATATTCTGTTGGCTTGTTTGAATGAATACTTCCTCTCTGCTGGCAGAATAGTTTCTAAATCACATTGTGTTTGACATATACATGAATAATATTTATTTCTATTTATTGTACAATAATACTTAATATGACTCCTGTTTCATGCTGTACTCTTTACTTGCTTGCCTATTATGGACCTACCCTAAATCATATTTTATAGATATTTATATATCTGCACTGATTAGCCTAAATTCCAGCAAAATCATCACAGATACAGTGGAGATTAATTTGGCTCCTTAGCTTAAAAATTTCCTCATGTTCACAGAGTTAATCAAGATGTTGCAGAGTAAATATCAGGTCAAAAGTCCCTTTCCTTAACCAAAATCATTATTTAGATGATGGTTCTCATCATCTGCTTGAAACTGTGACGGCAGCAGAGAATGTAGTGCAATTTCCAGGTTTGGTTCAGTTTTGCTTGCATAGCTTCAGCAATGATTCATCTTGCTGACTGCCTTTCTAAATATACTGAATTGCAAATATTCCCAGAGAGAAGTTTGCCATGGAAAGGAGTCAGAAATACTGGAAAAAGGCAAAATAAAAGAAATGATAAATCCTAAAGCAGGGACTTGCTCATTTTGAAAATATTTAGTGTTGTGCTGTATATAAACAGTCAATTTTATTTTTGCATCAGATTAAAAAAAACATAAGAAATATTTCTGCTAAGCATTAAGAAAGTTTTGAGGGGTTCCTTTAGTTTCTTAAAAACATCCTGTCCCTTTTGGAATGTATCAGACCATTCTTACCCAACTCGCAAGGTCAGGGTCTGCAGCTCTGCTCCTCAGCATCACCTTGCAAGCTTGGGGCACATCAGCTTGCGCAGAGCGATGAGGTCGTTCTGTCAGTCATCGAGCCCGCTGCACCAGCGGCCTCGCTACCAAGGCTGAACTAACAAATCCTGACTGTTCATGGCAGAGCTGTCAAGCTCATTGTCACTGCTGACTTCTGCAGATGTGGCTGGACACGCAAACGGGTGCAGACCATGTTTAAGAGCAGCATTACATGATCCTTTTAGCGCACTAGCGCAGTGACCTGCGGCTTTACAAGTACTTGTTAAATTCAGCAACAAGAACTAGATGTTGTTTTCTTTTAAATATCTTTGTGCAGTCACAATTTGTACAGTGGTGAATGTTTTCTACTTCAATAGAAATAGTTTTATATTGTAATTGTTTTACTACTGTTGTATAAGAGCATAACTTCTACTGTCTGGAGTATTACTACAAACAGATGTCGTCAATGGGTAATAGTTTTCACAAAAACGTCTCCACTGCTATATTAATCCACTGAAAATAGAGATAAGTGTTTCTGTCTCATTGTAAGTACTCAAGCATTATCGGTATATCTCTAACTATTTATCTTAGGCAATATCATCCGTACTGAAGTACCTTGTTTAATGTTGTAATATTTTGTACCACCATTCCTCATTCTTTTTACTACAGAGTCTAACCCAGCTCCCACTGACCTCGCAGATGAACAGGTTGTGTCTGCAATCCATAATGGATAACTTTGGAGAGAAACTCACCTAGCTCTGCACCAGCTAACTCCAAAATTGCACGCAGAACAGAGGGTCAGCAATTCACTCGTGTTAATCAGCTTAGCTTGTTCTGGGTTAAGTTTCTTTGGACTGGATATTTAACAAATTGCTAATTTTCCTATATACAGCTTTGAGTTTAAAGGCAGAATTTAAGACATTTCACTTCATTTAGTTTCTACAGCTATCTTAGGGAGAGATTCACCCAGAAAAGCATGCCAAATATAGGGCCACATTAAATTATGCCCAATTAGTCCTGAGAAGCCACACTCAGGCTACCTGTCCCAGCATATTCAATATAAACTGAATAACCCACCCCTTTCAAATAAGCTTTGCTTTCTTCTTAAGCAGTGCCACTTTATGCAGTGTGGATATCCCCCGGTGGGTTCAGCGAAACTAGGATCAGGTTCCAGCATCTTTACAGTTGTTGGGGTTTTTTGTTTTGTTTTTTTGCCAAAAGGGTGGTAGAATGGAAGAAATATTTCCTTTTCAAATATGTACAAAAATATCAAATTGAATTTAATCCTGCGTATCACTAGCAAAGCCACCTCATACTCAGTTTTGTAGTGTTGCACACTGGAGAAGAATGTAAAACCGTTATAGGCTTGACATAAAATATTTAGAAATTAAGATAGTTATCCAGTAGGTAAGCTGTATGTATTTTACTCATTCTTCTACTCTATATACTGGCAGTGCTGTGATGCTAAAATCAAGCATGAGTGGGGTAAAAAAAGGTTGTTAGAACAGGATAGAAGACAGATTGCTACAGAACAAACGAGAAAATTGCAAATTTATTTTCACTCTGCAGATAAACTTCTTTTTTTTTTTTTAATAAAAACAAAGTGAACCAAAAAGATTTTCTCTCATAGAAGGAAAAAAAGAAGCGTAGAAAGCAAAATACTGGAAGATTTTATGTTGGGAGCTTATGCAAAGATAAG